GCCTAGTAATATGAAGGTGGTACGAGTATTCCAGTGTTTGAAACTTATATATAACTGATACAAAAAAGTAATTTCAAATGATAATATAGAGGATTAAGTGGATTAGTAACGGAGGATCCTTTTATACCTAGATAACAGAAAGACTTCCAACTGAAATGGCCAAAAAAGCTAATTTTAATAATTCTCGTCAAAATATGACCATCTCGTCTACATCAGTGAAACTTTGGCTCATTGGTTTAGGGAGCTGACTTTCAACTATTGAGTGATGGGTCCGAACACCGCCCCACCTACCACGGTCTGGCCATTCAGAAAGCATCGTTAGCCCTCAAATAATAGGCGTGGCTCATTACCTCTCCATAAGTTCATACAAGGTTTCTGAGTACATCTTGATTTCTTTACTCCGCATCAATCAGTTCACGCACTGCACTTACAGAAATTCTGAGGAATTTGTATTGTCGTTTAAAATAATTAAACCAAGAGTAATGATTGTATGTTGTCGCTTGTATCCTATCCATCATTGCTAAAGAATAATGATTACCAACTAAAGTACTGAAACCTCTTTGTTGAATAACTCTCCATTGAATGACTGAAAGAATATTAGTGGACAAGTACTGTAAACTGTGTGTATTTAAAACTGCTTTTCCTACTTCGTAAATACCCGTAGCACACTATCATATTATCTTGAATCATAAATATATATCGGTATGATGTTCGCCTCTCTATTTTTAGAATTGGTAAATAGTGGGGTTCCTTATAAAATGATTTCAGTTTTATCATGGTTAAGATAACTTGAAAATTCTCCCTGAAACCGTTTCTCCACATAATGATGTATGCATCTAAGACAATTCGATTCTGTTTCAGATGATGAAGTAACTTAGATATTTTATCACTGGGATTTCTCAATCGTTTGCTCAATCTGTGCAAACTGTGAATTGTTATACTTTGTTGACTAGATGTGTGACAGAAAGACGAGTCAACATGGAACCTTGCACAGAAGTGCATCAGTCCAAGTCACCACAATTCACAGCAGCATGCAAAGAACAAATGGACAGATATTGAGTTAGACAAAAGTATATGAGAGAAAAGAGAACAGAAAGATGAAGACTAATGGAAATGTCCAAAACTTTAAAAATGATGAAGCGTATACGTCTGCTTCACTGTGGCTGAATTTGAGTTATATCAACAAGTCTCCATTGAGCTTATCCCCTTGAGAACTTCAGCTCAGGTTAACAGTCGCGTGTATACGTCTGAAGAACAAACTGAGTCTGTTTATAAATTGCCTCTTCCTTCGTTCTTAAAATATGTCCTTTCTCCTATTGATTTTCAAAAAATGGAATAAGATTATTGCTACAGTTGACTGAAACATAAATAAATCTCTTTGGTGTCCTTGTACGAAATCAGTTTTCCGCGTTACATTACACTCCCCACCTAAATATTGCCAATTAATGTGAACAATAAGACGTATGTCGCTACCCGATGTCCAATATGTCAGTTGTCATAATTTTGATACAAACCTCAAGTAATCGGTAAAATATCTCATTGTTAAAAGGTGCTAGGCACTATCTGAGTCTCTAATTCCTCTTGCTTAAGGACCGAACAAAACGAAAGCTGAAACAAGAAATTACAATCCTGTTTGATGATCATTCTCACCAATAACCCAAATACCGATGTACATGAATTATAAGACAACAACTAAAGTAGATACCCTTTGAGTACTATAGTCGTGCAACATTAAAATATTTTCTTTTTCAGATAGCAATATTCCATGAGACGTAAAATATCGATTCTACTTATCTAATAGTTAACAAGTGATCCTGAATATAAATAGCTCCTACTTCCACTTCTGTCTTAATTATTTGCAGTCGTTACAAACAATATTAACCCGACAATTTCAAGAACTTCACATTCTCTAACTGCCCCTAACGAGTCAAATCCATAAAGTATCCCTTCTGATATCTTTTAAACTTCCAACTGGGAAGTGAAGATTCTTACGGCTGAACTATGCTAACTTTGAACCCCTAGTCATGAATATGATACTCATTTCAAAGAAACGCAGATATCTACATAAGTTACTTCAGGTGAAGGGAATAGGAGTCTTCTGTACTGTAAAAAAAAACCGAATTCATTTCCTCCACTTAAAGTAACTTATTTTGAACAAAATCTGAGCAATTCTGGTTAGAATGTGCGCATTTCTTGGCAAAAGGTATGGATAAATCTCATCATATTCTTCTAAGGACACGTACTGCGCTAAAAAAATACTCAGGTTCTCGCTAAATAACCAGAAATTCTATGACCTAGAAACTCGTAGATTAATGATTCCAAGTAAATTAATTTCTAAAATTCATAGCTGGTTGACTTAAAATCAGCTATTAGGTTACAGAACAAAAATGATTACTTGTAAGACCATTCAGGGCCAATCTCCTACCAGTCACTAACAAGGATAAAAGGCTGAACGTCACTGTATGTAAAAAAATCTTCAGTTTTACATTTGGGAAAGCCCTTGGCGCCTGTAAAATCATAGGACAGTGCAAACAACTGTCCTGAACTCAATGACCACGTGACATACATCAAGATGCAATGAAAACTATAAAAACTATAAAAATCAGTATCTCTCCGCGATTGATTCAGTAGCTTGCTCTGACGATGTGGTCTGTGATTGGTTGTTTCCTTTGATTGTTGTGTCATTGATTGTAAAGACTTTCCTGTTGGCTGTTCCTCTGCTTCACCTCTGACCTTCCTGTCGTTTATCATTTTTCTTATTGGTTGGTAGATCGGGTCTATGTCTATACATCTATTGATTGCTGACTGACTGACCTGAATGCCAAGCTTCTAGAAATTCTCTGACATTCTTTGTGTTTCCTCTATCCAAAATTTCTACATTGTCGAAATTGAATTCATGTCCATAATTATCCACGTGCATTGAAATGAGTGAGGAAATGTCGTGGCGTTTAATAGCCAATTGGTGCTCATGTAGACGAAGGCGAAGAGGGCGGCCGCTTTGTCCAATGTATGGTATGACAACATACTTCCAATTCAACGGCAAGATATACAAACAGATGAAAAGAACTCCAATGGGATCACCGATATCCAGATTAATTACAGAAGCAGTGATGCAGAGAATAGGAGCCATCATTCTACCTGTGATTAAACCAAAAATTTGCATTCGCTATGCGGACGACACTTTTGTCATCATTAAAAAAGGTGACATCGAAAACACTCACAGTTTGGTCAACAACATTTTCAATGACATCAAATTCACAATAGAGAAAGAGTCAAACAACCAAATACCATTCCTGGATGTTTTAGTCAGTAGGACAAATGCTGGAAACTCAAGTGTACAGGAGGCCGACACACACTGATCAAATCCTCAACTATAGTAGCAACAACCCAGAAATGCACAAAATTAGTTGCGTGCAGACTCTATTCAAAAGAGCGAGAACACACTGCGGCACAACAACTTTACGGAGAAACGAGGAAAACCACTTGACTTCCATTTGAAAGAAGAATCGCTACCCACGAAACTTCATCAGATGCCGTACATCAACTACAAAACCATCGACAGAAATCAATAAACTCATCATCCTACCATACATAAAGAATATATCAGAAATCACGACAAGATTACTGAAATCATTTGGAATTGATGTGGCTCATAAACCAACAAATTCCCTCTAAACACTATTATGCAGACCAAAGGATGCAACAAGCAAAAAAGACAAACCGAATATCATTTACAAAATCAACTGCAATAACTGTAGTCAGCAGCACACTAGACAAAGCGGCCGCCCTCTTCGCCTTCGTCTACATGAGCACCAATTGGCTATTAAACGCCACGACATTTCCTCACTCATTTCAATGCACGTGGATAATTATGGACATGAATTCAATTTCGACAATGTAGAAATTTTGGATAGAGGAAACACAAAGAATGTCAGAGAATTTCTAGAAGCTTGGCATTCAGGTCAGTCAGTCAGCAATCAATAGATGTATAGACATAGACCCGATCTACCAACCAATAAGAAAATGATAAACGACAGGAAGGTCAGAGGTGAAGCAGAGGAACAGCAAACAGGAAAGTCTTTACAATCAATGACACAACAATCAAAGGAAACAACCAATCACAGACCACATCGTCAGAGCAAGCTACTAAATCATTCACGGGGAGATATTGACAGCTGACTTCATACTAGAGTTAGTGCTGATGATGTCGTCTAGCAAGGCGATGAAAGCTTCACGATTAAACAACCCAGCTCAGAAAACACAATACAACCAAGACCATCTACCTGAGCTACAAATATTCTCCATTACTATAAAAAGCAAATGTCGAAAGTAGTGTGATTATATTGATATGATTATGAGTAATAATTTATGCTCGAAACGTCATCAAGTAAATAATACTATATCACTGTTTGTTATAAATCAAATAAACAAATATAATATGGAATTAAATTCTACCACAGTGCCCAAGTTTTACACCTATATTAACGCAGTGGAAACCACCTAACGCTTTTCTTTCTCCTTAGGTTACAGTTTATCTGCTGCAAAGTTTACGAATATGACATCAGCTACAATTATAAGCGTTAACCCAATAGCTAAATTTGCAATTAAATTTTAAGCTATAGGCATTAAGTTTCCCTTCAGAGTTATGCACTTGAACTTCGTCAACAAAAAGATCATCGTCCACGTTTCGAAACAACAAGCACTTATCTATACAGTGTATCGACAACTTTGGAGGAACTTACGCTTTTCACTTACCTCAAAAATCCAAACCTGCACCGCAGTAGAAGACGTTACTGTTCACAAACAATGCCTACAAAACGATAGTACGAACAAGAAGTGGTCATCTAATGAGAGCAATAAACAAAGTCCACTGAAATCCAATATCAGTTAGCCCGGGAGTCGCACTGAGTTTTCTTTAGACATCAACTGTCATCTGATCAACACTTGGTAATTAACCCTCACTACAGATATTGTAGATAGTGGGTAAACAAAAACAAAAAAACTATTCTTAAAGCTTTACGGTTTTCTTTATTTTATATTTTTACATAAATACCCGCTGCAAATCATCAACATCATAGTGATCACAGCAAATCAAGAAGCAAAAGACAACCAATAATAGTGATAATAACAGGAGGAAAGTTAGTTGATCAAATGATTGTTATTATTATTTGGATGATGATTACTCTTATTGTTCTTCGATATGCAAACATCAAGTAACGAATAAATGGTACCAAGGATGAGAAACGAAAGAGAAAAGAGGAAAAAAGGAAATAGAGGGCAGTAGAGAAAAGTGGGTAGTTCACTTCAACAACAACAAAAAAACATTGATAAGAGGTCAGTTCACAGAATAAAGCGAAATACTGCTACCACCTCTGGATAGCAAGCGACAAATATTTAACTAGGAATATTACTACCCATAGAATTGAATATGAATAAATTCTTCCTTGATGAGAAATTAAATCTCCTGTAATTAAGTGAGCAAGAAAATTCAACCATCCAATCTCTAACTAATTAAAAAAATTGGACAATTATGCGAATATTACAAAGACAAGTGCATGAGTTAAAAGGTTGAACAGCAGCAGTAGACAATGAAAAAATTGAAAAATAATCAGCAGTTTTACTCTTTTACATCAAACACATCTTTGCTATAAATCTTGCAACTGAATACTACTATCTTTAAGTTCAATTGAAATTAAACTAATAAACAAATAGCAGTATAGTACCTTTTTTTACCTGTTAACTTATTCCATATTACAATCGTCATCAAAAATCTGTAGGAATTTCAGCTACTATGAAGGCGCAGCACCAAAACACAACTGAAATTTCATAGGATACGTTTTGAGAAAAATTTGATTTTAATTGTGCTAACCATAACATGAATATGCCTTTTGTATTCATGAGGTAAAAAGATGATAAAATCAGATGTTACAGGCAAAGGTAAGAAAACAGTACACATGCATTACACTCATTATTTGATAATTCAATAATAACTATAATTAGGCGATTCAAAACAAAGAAGAAAGAAAGTATGAGCAGTTCAAAAAATAATGAAACGAGGCAACAATTGTGTTCTATTTAATTTTGACTAGATGACAGTGTACTAAATAGATTGATTGAATTATATACTTTGATGTTCTCTTTCTTTGATATTTGTTTTTCTCTCCTCTCTTGTTTTGACAATTATGAGCGAATTGAGAAAATTAAGTAGGATCTAAAAGTGAAGTAAAGGCAAAGAAAAAATTACAATCAATGCGTAACCTGTCCATCAGTGATTAATGACTATTATATCAGGTTAACTAATCCTATAACAGCTGAGTGAATTCTGTTGACCAATGCTGAAATGTGAAGAACAAGTTCAATAACTCAATATTATCATTCACTGTATCGGTGAGCAGATATCATGATACTAATTCTCTCCGAGTGACAGATATGTTATATAAAGGGTCATATGAAGAAATTAGAGTGTGAAAGTCGATGGATAAACAGAATGCATTGTAATTTATTTAAAAGTTGCAAGTTCGAAACAAAACCTAATTGGTTGGGATGATATTATCAATATTAAACTTGGGATCATCACATAACAGTTTAAGTTGCTACACTTTACATAAGCACACGAAGGTAAAAGACGGAATACAAAATGAAAACAGTATAAGAAGTCGTAAAGTCCTATAAAATAAAAAGAAAAGAATGCGAAGACAACGACACACAGTGCTACTACTTAAATGGAGGTAAGAGAAGGACGCATATGTATCGCGGACAAAACTAGCTTGAAACTAAATCGTGAGTACTTAAAATAACTATCACTAAACCGCAACCATCATACAGCACAGATAATTACTTTCGATGACAGACAAATTAAGATGAGCGGAAGCAAAAGGGTATTCCTACATTAGTAAGAGAATTGTTTTAATATTCACCTGTATACAAAGCAGGAAGTAAGAAAACGAAACAACACAAACTGATTCAATAAATGTTTCTTCAATGAAACGTTTGTGCACTGTGGAATGAATTATTGTACTATAAGTTATCGGGATAAATATTGGTAAAATATTTCAACTGTTGGTGTGATCCTGAATAGTAATTTTGCTTAAAATATTAACAAAATAAAAGCTTATCATTGTGTATAAACTTTGCATAAATGTTTCTCCACTCTGAAATTCTACAGATCATATTCCATATCGCTCTGTTTACCAGAATTTCATTCAAAAAAGGAAGTACTCCAAGATGCCAAAACCCCATTCTCAATACATTCATCATATCCTGTATGACTTATTGTTTATCAAATTCCTCCAAGGTCACTTAACCTGCATAATGATAAATCTACAATTGAACGTAGCAACTCAGATAAGACGAAACAACTACTCTTCACAAGATGAGCTCCAAATCTTTTATGCTCTATTGTAACATACTATAAATCACTTATTTTTTGTTGAGACGTAGTTGTTTTCTTTTTGTCGGATATCTCTATAGTTTTGAAGTTTGTTTTGTAAAAGTCGTTATGCATGATGTGTAAATAAAGCCAAACTTTTTAAAAAATGACGATGTTTATCATTTGTATGAGGTACCAAATCTATTTCATCAAAAAGATGCACAAAAAACATAAATTTAAGAGTCAACTATCGATTGGTTAGAACTATTTAACATCCAGTAACAATAATGCCAAGTGACTTATTTTTAATGATGACAACTAGACTTCAATAAAAACTGAGTTCATACTATTTGGTTACTCTTTTCCAACGTATTACGCGTGTAGCAAAGCTATTAGGATACACAGACATTAATACACAGTGTTCAATTTAATCTAATCAGTTACTTGTTACAATTAACATGAGTTATGCATGCCAATAAATTGAAGAAAAATAAAATGTGATGAAACAATAATAAAAGTATAAACTGATTGGTTCAAATAATGAAGTTATAAAACGTTTATCCTATAAACATACACCATAGTACTGAACAATTATGATTTAAACAACATACTTCTGCTTATTTTGTGGACTAATAAACATATATGATTATAATAAATGAGTTGAATTGAATATGTTATTTTAAATCTAAGCATTGTTTATCTGACTACTTTAATATGAGATAAAACGCAATAAGTAACACTAAATGAGACTAGTTATGAGATGACAGTAAATACTTGTAGCTCAGTTTGTATATTTCATGATAATACTGATGCTCACCGAGCTTGTGTTTTCGTAAGCAAAGATTTTAACTTCTATATGGAGGCTTTCCCTTGATTATCTTAACAACACTTAAAGTATATGCGAAAAAGCTGGTTTATAGAATTATTCATACTGGTCAGAAACTGCATTCACTCTGACAAAAGTATATTGTCAGTTTCGGTATCATATTTAAATATTTCTAAAGTGAAGCTTGTCATATATATATATATATATATATATATATATATATATATATATATTTAATTCTCTTGAAGAAGCTCGTACCAAACTACCGTACAAAAAGTTAGAACTATTAATTCAAACCTGCTGAGATTCACATAGACTTAACTTATATCTAAAGTCAACTTATCACTCCGGGCGCACGACTAGTGAAAATATGAGATCAAATCTTGACCAAGAATCATATATAGGTTCGCTCCATAACTCAAGGTCAATATGATGGAAAAATATCTTAGTAGGACCATTCACATATGGAGGACATTAGCAGGAAACCAACTTAAAAGTAATATGAAAACAGGAGTAGACACCGCTTCGTATACACAGTGAGATGTAAATGTGTTAGACAGATATACCAACAAATGTTCGCATAAAAATTTCATGGTCGAAAACGGATGATCGGTCATCTTTTTTACGTTGTTAGCCTGTAGATATAAAAACAAGCATCATTATAAGAAAATTTATTTACTTTTAATCTGATAGGTCAAATGAATCCTGTGGTTCATCATCTCGACCAACACTATTATTGCAGCTATCATTAACATTATGAAGATACTGTGCATTTTCGAGAGAAGAAGAAGAACTGACTTCACTTTTACCCAATGTAATCGGAGTGATACCTTTATTTTTGAAAACAGAAAACTAGATAAATGTATATGTAACATTTTAAGTGATATAAAATTAGATTCATTAGTATTTTTAGTCTTTACACTACAGTAATTCACCAAAAAAACCTAGAACTGACGGTTTTTAGAAAAGTACAAAAGTGAAAGACAAATAGTTAAGCATTTATTATAAAAACGACCAAAGTATTATTCCACCCTATCCACCTAACAGTGATAGTACGATAAATAAAATCTACACAAGATATTTTTTTCTGAAATTTCGAAATAACAAACAGCCTATAAATAATACAGTAAATACTAACAATCATGGAAATGCAACTCCCGACGTTTCTCCATAGCCTTGCAGATTAGACTTCAGGCTGGCACCGTTAAGCAAGCCGGTGCACACAAAAAGTTACTTCGACTTTCGCGATCCGTTAGTACCTCAGGTGCTAGAGCAAATCACGAATATTCTAAATCAGGTTTTTAGAATTTCTGACCAATATAAGTGGTAGTTTTCCATTGAAGCAACTATTTCTTGATATTCTATCTTGGAAATAGTCACCGCCAAATACTACTCAGCTATTGAGAGTGTGACTTATAGTTCATGGAATACTGCATGCATCACAATGAATTAGTTTTTTATGATCAAGATGAATCACCCAATCTGTTTTCTATTGCTCTTTCGGATGACTACTCAAATAGAGTTATCCATATCTTGAATTTGAGGCAAGTAAAAAACTGACAACACAACTGATCGAAAAGATATTCGTAAGTTAAACGATGAAAACTACTGACGTACAAATAAAATCCCTTAACATATTAGGAATAGATCAATGGAATCTTGTGTCGATATATCTCAAGATTTATCTTTATATTATTTCTGTATCCACCCTTTGTTATCGAAATTCTGAACATTTTTATCAACTTTGATTCAAACAATTTCTCTCCTAACAGATACTGAGCTTTACTAATATATCATTTCCTTTCAGTTTATCTTTTTTTTCTATGCCTTTGTGAAGTGTGACAACGTGAAGTGAGCTTATTTGGAAAGGCTAACCTTGATCTACCTAGCCACGTTGAATTCATATTTATAATGGATGCTAAAAACTCACACAAGTGGTAATTTCAGAGTTTTGCAGTTGAATCTGTAGAAATAAATGAATATGCATATGTTGAATAGCATAAACAGAAGAATGCTTACCATTTTTAGTACGTCGACGAATTCCACAAGGTACAGAATCTAAGTCTGAGAAACTATCTTTTGGTGAGTCCCCATGAGATACAGTTGATTCATGTGGCATAAGCATAGCAGGTGCACGGAACATGTAACACAACGGATAGTAAATTAAATTGATGCATGAAAAAGAATATAAATCTGCATAGCGCATTACTTGAGATGAAAAAAATGTGTGTCTTGAGCCTGAAAACGAAGAAGGTGCAAATTAGAATACATAACATAACAAGTAGTGGTGAGTTTATATACCAGGTACTTCAAAATGCAATAAAATGGATTCCCTTGAACTTTGTTTTTGTCGCTTAAGAAAAGTACTGGTGATGAGCCTTGCAACTCACGAGTATTGTTTCACTATTACCTAACAGATGTAAAATAGTAGCCACTGTAAAATTCTCCTAACTCTTGTGGCGATTGTTGCGCGACCCTCCACATAATACACTTAAAAAAATTAGAAACTCTTGATTCAAAAGCAATGATGAACATGGACTACTACCACCTAGAACAGAGTGATGGTGTATGAACCTATATTCGTCACCGATAACTATATGGAATGCAACACCTCACGTCGCTCCACCGCCTAGTGAATCGAACATCAAGTTGGACGTCTCAGGAGTAGTTCCTCAAGATAACCACCTACTTCAGCCTTCATAGGAAGCCTTATAGGAAGTATCAAAACACGCATACAATTTATGAATCAGCAGAAACAATGACGGCTACTAAGCGTGCATCAAATCTTTTCGCATGAAACGAAAATCAAAAGTCACTGAGTGACAAGCTTTCCGCCCACATATTTCATTCATCTTTACAGTGTTCTTTTTACATCTGAACTATACTATATTTCCCGGTGGGAAACCATTCACTGGGAGGCAGGTACATACAACTGACGAGTCCCAAATAGGACGAAATGAGTATCCTGGATTACACTGCTAGCCAATGCCATCATTACTACATATATTATCTTTGGTTCATTTTCTTATTTATCTTCATCTCACTCAGTCGCTCGTCACAGATTAAATTCCTAGTTTTTCTGCGTCGTCTTGAGTCACTGAAGTTACTTTCAGAAAGCTATTTCAGTCCACACCGCCTAAGTTGGTCACCTCCAACGTTTAGACGCTCATGCAGAACGGATAGCAGACAGACTCAGCTTGCATTTTTCAAGGCCTCTTTATTGATGTATGCGGAATCTCAGACACCAATATGCAATAACCCAGGGAAATGCTTCGCCATTTGTCAGCTGAAAAGTGAATAACCATGGCGTCTATCAGGGGGCAACCTCGCCTGGTTAACTAGTTCACTAGTTATTAGCCGGTCCTAAGCCCGGATAAACAAAGAAGGTTGGGCATTCCGCTATCTACCCTACCCCAGAAAACCAATCCAATCGCTATACAAACTTCAAAGCAAAAACAAAATATAAAAAATAAAAACAAACTTATTCCTTGCTGGAATCGGAGAGGCGAAATGACGTCGGTTGGTGAAAGCCTGCATTCGAGAAGCCAGTCGGCCGATGTGTCTTCTCTCCCTCGATGAAAGCAAAAGTAAGGATGGGGACATGGAATATCCACACAATGTTTGAACCTAGCTGGCAGGGCTGCCCAGATTGCAAAAGAGATGAGAAGATGTAGCATAGAAGCTCCAGGAATCTGCAGATGAAATGGAAGTGGACACTACCAACTGTCAACTAGAGAGTCAATAATCTACTCCAATATTGTCACCCAGATGACAACCTCGAGCACACTGAGTTTTCGAGTGGCTATCATGATGTCCACAACAGCATCGAAGGCTCTCTCTCTCTCTCTCATGCAGTGGGAACCAGTCTCCTCCTGCATGATGAGGATCATGACAGCAAGATGGATTCGACTCAAAAGGAAGGAAATTCACAATTATACAATGCTACGCTACGCTACGCCACGCCACGCCACGCATCTACAAATAATCAAGCAGATCAAGAGAAGAAGGAGGAATTCTACAGACAACTGCAATCAATACTTGACCGGACTCCACACCAGATGGTGACATCAAAGTTCTAATGGGTGACATGAATGTCAAACTCGAAGAAGACAACACAGGAAGCGGAAGAGACCTCATCCAACATGGGTCGAGAAGCATTCGGTGAAATGAACGAGAATGCAGAACTGTTTGCAGGTTTACAAGCATTCAATGATTTGGTGATTGGAGTCAGGCAGTGTGTGTACAAACACAAGGATATTCACAAAGCGACATGGAGTTGATTTCACCAGACACCAGGACACACTAAAAATCAGATCGACTTCATCTCATTGTGAAGAAAGTGGAGATGCAGTCAGTCTACTGGACACAAGATCAGATCAGATCAAGAAGGGGAGCAGATGTAGGTTCACACCACTCACTATGTAGTGTAAGGAACCTACATTCAAAATCAAGTTGGAAGACTTCAAAGAAGCTAGTGATGACAGATCAAAGTTGAAGTTGAACACCCAGGATAGAAACTGAAGGACAAAACTACAAAGGACACCTTCACGTCAGCCATCAGGACAAAATGGGAGACATTGAGCAACATCCCTGAGGGAACCTGTGTGGGAGAACACTGGAACTGTGAGATGTGAAAGCGATGTGGAAGGAAACCTGAATAACCGTGCTAGGAATGGAAGGAAGAGGAAATAAGACAAGACAAGACAAGATAGGAATGCATCTCGACGGACGCATGGAATCTGATAGAAGAGGGAGAGGAAGATGGTGAAGCAGAAGATGAACCAGTGCAGTGCAGTGCAGTGCAGTGCAGTGCAGGCAGGGATGAACCATGAGAAGAGGAACTGAACACAACCTATAAAACAATACACTGGAGAAAGAAGTGAAGAGGAGTGCACGCAAAGACAAAAGACACACCTACAACACATTGGCAAGTGAAGCAGAACAGGCTGCTGGTAGGAGAGACAGAGACATGACAACACCATATCAAATAACCAGGTTACTATCTGGGAGGCAAGAGATCAACGCAGATGAGACCAGTAGAAGATAGTGAAGGAAAGTTAGTTACCAAAGAGGAGAAGCAAAGGAAACGATGGGCTGACCACTTTAAGAAACTCTTCACTCGACCACCACCACCACCACCTACAACTCGTTCAGAAATACCATCAGCAGACCAACCACACATCTATGTGTGAACACTAACCCTCCGAAATAAGCCGAAGTCATGAACGCCTTAAAGCTGCTGAAATCCTGAGAAGCAACATGACCTGAGGGAATTGCACCAGAACCACTGAAAACATGCAGAGACAACAGTGGACATGCTCACTCCACTACTGCAGAAGGTTTGGAAGGAACGAAAGTTACCTGCTGGTGGATTGGAAGAATGGCTACCTTGTCAAACTCCCAAAGAAGGTAGACCTAAGCCTTTGCATGAACTGGTGAGGAATCATGCTCCTGTCTACACCAAGCAAAATATTGAGCCACATCATCCTGGAGAGACTAAAAAATGGGCTTGGTTCAAAATTACGACAGGAACAGAACAGGCTGGGTGGCTGGCTTCAGGAAGAACAAATCATGTGCCGATCAAATTGCAACACTACGCATCATCATAGAACAGAACATAGAATGGCAGTCAACTCTCCACCTCACCTCAACTTCATCGACTTTGAAAACAACTCCCTTCGATAGCGTCGACCGAGAAGTAATTTGGCAGGCAGCTAGCTGCTTCAACACCACGGTTTTATTGCCACAAACTTTCATCAACCTCATTCAACAGCAACTATGTGCCATATGATGCTACATGCCGAGTGATCTACAGTGGAAAGCTCAGTGACGAATTTGAAGTGAAGACAGGAGTAAGACAAGACTGTCGCCTACTATCACCCATGATCTTCCTGATTGTGGTCAACCGGACTAGACTGGGTCATGCAGCAAACCGTGAGGAGCAAGAAGGGGGTCATACGCTGGCTGGACCAATGAAAAGAGCCCAGGAGAAGATTTGGATTTCGCCACCGATGATGATTCATGTCTAATATCTTATGTCGCACAAACTCGAAGATCTACAGGCAAAAACCAACAAGTTGACAGAATAGGCATGGCAGCGAAGATGGGACTTCAAGTGAACACAGAGAAGACAGAGGTGATGAAGATACCCAACCAAAAACAGCATCAACAACAAGAGGAACCAATCACCATGAACGGGAGAAATCTAAAGAAGGTAGTCTCTTCCACCTACATAGGCAGAGCAGCATCGTTTCGACTGCAGGCGGCGGCACAGATGAGGATGTCAAAGCCAGAATCGGAAAAGCAATACAGGCCTTCACTAACCAGAAATCAGTGTGGAGATCTACTCCACTCGACTCAGCATACAGAACAAGATCCGGATTTTGAACACTAGTGGCAAACCAGTCCTTTTATATAAGTCAGTGACTTAGCAAGTTACAAAAAGCATTTCCAACAAACTTCAGACATCATGCATCAACAGCTGTCACTTACGGACACCCAATACTGAAGATCAGACGACCAGAATAATGAGAATACACAACGTGGAACTCTGGGAACGAAACAACCAAGAACCCATCACCCAACAAATATGCAGAAGAAAGTGGAGATGGATTGGGCATACACTGAGAAGGCCGATTGGGGACATCACGCACCAGGCCGTCGAGGGGAATCCAAAGGGGAAACAACGGGTCGGGTGTCCGAGGGTGACGTGAAGGAGGTCGTGTGAGGAAGAAATGAAGGCTTGTGAGCAGTCGTGCCGCCGGGTTCAAGAAACTGCAGAGAAGAGAGTGAAATGCAGACATGCTACTAAAGCCCTATGTTCTACTAGGTACCAATTGGGCAAATAATAATTACTATTGTCCGGTGACAGGAATCAGAAGTTGCAACGGAAACGACGATTCCTCGTCATCTCTCCTGAGTGTTCCCAGTGATAACAGCTCAGATCTGGCTAAAGATGATTTCTACCACTAACTGAGTGGTTCTCTCTACCAAATACCCTCGAAAGATGTCGTACTGCTAGTTGAGAACTTGGATGAGCAAGTAGAGCGACTAGACCCGAAAGAAGATCCCTGATGTTGCCAATGGGTTTCATTCGACTGAAGGTCAGATAATGAAGAAAGTCTTCTGCAGTTTCGCACAGATCACAACCTGTTCCTAGACAGTGAAAACTTCCGTCCCAGACATCGCCGTTGTGCTACCTGGTGTTCTCCATCTGCCATTCACGTCCGGGCTCAGGTATATCATACTGCAATCAAACGCCGACGGAACGAATGCTACTTCTGGAGCATCTGTTTGAAGTCTGATCACGTCTTAGGGTATTTTAAGTTCATCTTGCATTTTGCTGGTGGTCGAAGTCGTCGTTTGAAGCACGTCAATATAAGCAAATTAGTTGCACTTAGTATTGCAGCTGAATCTCAGACCACACTACATTCAAGAATAGCTCAAGAACCTCCAGAAAGTATAGATGAGTAGTGGTTGCACTTAAAAGACGTCGTAAATACGGTAAGTAGGACTGCTTGTGAATTCGAAGCAAGTCCCACTTACAAAAACACCAGGTCCCTGCAAGATCCTTGCAACGAATTGGTGCTCGTCAGTGTACTCCGACAGGCAGTGAATACAATGGTTATCGTAAGTGCCTTAAGGGACAAATTAACCAGCATTCGCCTAAGAACTCTAAGGCCAGATGTTCAGAACGCAGAAGTGAGATCCAAAGAGCATTTGCATCTAGCGGTGGGCAGAAAGTATTCCAGCTCATCCAAGCCACCGGCAGCAAGAAGCTTGGTGTCAGTGATACGGTCTGTGAAGTAGTATTATGTCAATCACCAACATTCATAGATAACTAGAATGTTGGGCGGAATACTACTGTGGAAAGATGTTGAGTTGGCCTACTGTCCCACTAACACCAAATCTGTTTTGTGCTCCATGGTTAGTTAACAACGATCCACTAAAATCAAGGCGGTCAGTAATAAAGCTACATAAGGAAACAGGCCTAAAAAACCAACCCCCGGTTATTCTTACGGACAGAAGTGAAACTGTAGCCGTGGAACTGGCTACATTGTTTAGAACGTTAACCTACGCTGGAAGAAGTCCCCTACTCTGGAATGAATCCACTGTTGTATCATCTTTAAAAAGGATCAAACGGGGCATAAAACAGTCACCGACCAAGTGTTCACCCTCCTCCAGATGCATATTGAAGACAGACAATATTCTTCGGTATTATAGCTACCTTCAATTTATTGGACAGAGCTTTACTTCTGAATTGTCTGTTACACAGCGGTATCCCGGAATCGAAATGAACTAAGCAACCACATGCACTTTAGTACAATGAAAAACACCTTTTGTGTAGAGGCTGACAATACTAACTGGAAGTACAGATCTCTGTAGGTGGAGTGGGCTTCAGACCCACAACATAGTTGGAAGTCTATTGCCTAGACCAATGAGCCATAACTCTATGCGGAGGTATCTCTGAGAAGTTTTTTTACATCTTGCAAACAACATACTTCAACACCTGAGGCAGTCACGATATGCAGTTACCTATCTCCAATATATATATATATATATATATATATATATATATATATATATATATATATATATATAACTCAGGCTATATCACATCACTGTAAAGAAACAAAACAGCTCACCTTTAGAGCCACTAATAGAAGTAAACTAGAGCTAATCAAATTAAAGTGGTTATGGTTTCAAGAAAGATATGAGAGTAATCACGTATCTTTGTGCGCTAGTTTTCCTTCAGTTTCCCATAAATCTTTGAACAATGAAGTTCAGTCTTTAGTTACATTTGAATGACGCTGACTAACTAACTGAACAAAAATATCATATCCTTTGAAAAATAGTACCACCCAACCAAAATCGAAGTTTAAATCTAGTACGAATAATTTAAGCAACAACCGCTCAAGTCTAATCACCATTCACTGCGATAAAATGAAGCCTTTAGACAAGTCACGAAATCATGGAATACTGATCAATGAGTAACCAAGTAGTCTCGTATCTTATTTGGAAGACTTTATATAATTAATGTTCATTTTAACTGTCGTGAGTATCAAAAATATTTTCATGCTACGTGACTGTAATATAACCGAGGTGTTCGGAAATGGTAATTTGAGAACACAACTAAAAACGCTGGAATTATAATCCGTTCATAATCCTCTATAATCAGCTTGTGTGAGATTATTTGTTTAGACTGTTTTATAAACTAGCAAATGGAAAGATAAGACTGTTTTCCATACAGAACTACCGATTATCACGGCTATATAGATGTAGCTCATTCATCTAGAGTTAACACTACTAACTACTGACTAACTGGTTCAAACACTGGTCTACCTTCTTTGACTTTGAGCAACTGGATCACACCGAAAATTATCACAAAGTACAGCTTACACCCTGGCAAAAAAACATCTGCCAGATTGATGAGTTCAGTATATTTACATCGCTTTTTATAACGCAAAATGTTAGAAATGAAAAGAATGAATACGCACAAATGACAAGCAATGCATTAGTTGTGTGAACACTAATTTACTAAAGCAACCAGCGGAAAATAGTGTACTGTAGACAATTTTAGGTTAGTATACTCAGTCGCAGGGGCTTAAATTTGATGTCCAAAATGAAATTTATTTTCGTATAGGCAACCGTTACGATAGTTTCAGTTTAACCGACAATGGATGATAAACTTTTTCTGCAAAATCAAGATATTTTGGAAATTAGAGCAAACTTTCGAACAAATACATAGGCAAGCAGATGATTACACAGTGGACAGTAAGGATGAAGTTTTGGTTCCGCACTGAACAAGTCTGACAAAGTCAGTTGACTTAATAAACATGATAAGATGAATTACAAAAATTACCTTTTTTATTCAGAACTATGAGAAATAAAACAGTTTTGTCCCCTTGGAAAACAAACAAATTCATCACAATTTACTTTGGGATAGTGAAAAAAGCTGTGAATACTAACCATTTCTGAAAATGCTCCCCAGTGCACCATACGACTCTTCCATTTGTTGGGCTACAGCCTTCATTGGGTGAAGATATGATACACAAAAAAGAAAACAGCGAAAAATGCCAACAATCAGAATAACCAGAAATATGCAGCGTAAAAAAATATCATTACAAGATTAGATTAAAAACGAGAAGGATTTGAAACTATCCGGACAGTATTTAGTTGACCTGAAACAGTTTCACAACTCAAGGCAGATATTAAACAGTCCTGAATAAAGATTTAGGGTTGTTGGTACTAATCAAAAATAAACATTTTCTATACAATGCATAATGCCAAGTTGATCAAATTTCACTGTCAAAGCTGTGGCTTATTGGTCTAGGCACTCGACTACCTACCAATGAGAGACAGGTTTGAAGCCCCATCTGCCTACTGAGGTCTGGGGAGATCGCTAGTATCATAAGCCTCAACACAGTAGGAGTGGCTCATTGCCTACTGTACACAAGTATAAGTACATTTCTAATCGACTTCGATAACAGTGAGATAGTCTTAATTAGTTGTCTAGAATTATAGTGTAAAACACTTTAGTGTTTAAGTTTTTAAATGTTAGAAAGAATCTCTGGACCAACATTTAGATGTTTATCAATTGTTAAACGAATGAAATTATCCGCAGTTGCACCACCTAGTCATAACCGACAACTGAATTCTATTCACTATTCATCAAAGGATCACTGATCACTGCAACGCATTGTCATTGATGTAAGTTGGTTGAAGGCAGTCAGCAGGAAGACGTGGATCCTAGTTTCGTACATTTTAGGACACATCAGCAGGGTTTTCCTGCAACTTAGAAGTCGATGCTCAATTATACAACGAAAGCTGCTTCACCCAGTGTTACACTAAGAGATATTAGAATTAAGATATTCGAGTAGTATTTTCACAATGCGTCAATATGCACTAATTTACTGGCATGAATAAGCAGTTATGTACACTTAAACACACGATTTAGCAAGGCAGATCTGTTACATGTAGCCTCAACCGATAGCTGCTACATTGACATGGTGGTCGGCGATGCATATCCCTATGACCCAACGAGCTATATACTGGTGGAACGCTTGCCCCCTCGAGGTCCTAACATGCCAGAAAGGTCTGTTGCATGCTGGTAAGACAAAAAGCAGTTACCGTTGTACTTTAAACTGCTACACTATGACAGAGGTCCAAGAGAAAAGTCGTACTGCTAGCTAGATGGGGTGTAACACCAGTAAGGTGTTTCCCTTGCATCACCAGCAGTACCACGCTGATATTGTCTTCCCTACGGAAACGGGGATTCGGAAAAGGTCGGCCTCCAAAGTACCACACACCTCCCTGCCCCACCGTCTTCCACTATCAGTGGTACAGGCTTCCTCCGGTCGGCGTTAGAACAACCAAATCTGAAAATAACAACCAGCAAAAGACTGTATGTATTAAGTCTCAAGCAGATGTCCCATAAACGCTGTGGTAACAAAAATCTTTTTCTCTTTCACGTACCATAAGAAGAAGTAACCTTCCACGCCATGGGCAACCAGAAAGCGTCAACCAACCTCCCAACTCTTTCACCACCTACCACATCCTTAACTTCTCATCTCCCCTCACATCTCTTAGTAAACTATCCTAAATCACCCTTAATTTCTCCCTGCTCTGCAGCTCTCGACAATGATCTCAGTTCACAGAACAGCACCCTTAATCTCCTGAAACCCCACTCCAAATCACACCTTGGAGCTTTACATGTCCGGATTCGCTGTCAAGTCAGCCAATTAGCTGCACCAACTATAACAAGTCAGGCCATGGATCAGTGCTGTATTTGTGAGACACGTCTACAAGACACAAGTGCGGTTATTCACTGAACCTCACCTGGCCAATATGGTGAATCCGCAAAATTCTTACATCACATTTCTGGAGATTCACTAGCCAGTTCTCGGGGTCTTGCAGGTATATAGGTATAGCACTAAGGGCTAAGGCATAAAGTGAACTGCTCGACCAGATTTTCAGCTAACAGTTGCCTGAGCACTGTCCAACTTAATGGTGCAGTGAGGACCAAAAAGAATACGAAAATTCATCGTTATGTTTTTTTAATCTCCGTTTACACACCTTGGATGAAGTGGGGATGAGTCCTACCGAAAACTATCTAACCCCCTCCCTAGTAGAAGCGAATAGTTCAGATGCAGTTGTCGTAACAGGCGATTTCAATGCACAAATACGTAAACTAAACCAGGCAGAATGCTTCTTATGAGGTATTTTCGGAATCCCAGCCAAAAGAACGTATAACAGAGATCCCCGGTCAAAACTGTGCACAAACAATAGCCTATTTATGGAAAGCAAGACGTCAGAGAGACCATCTGACGCGTTGTCCCCTGACCACCACCACAAATACACCATAGTGCTATTAGTTATCGCTGGAGAGGGTCGGTGGAAGAATGCCACACTTTCTGTTGCACGCGTTTGGATAGAGATCACGTGCCAGTTCAAGCACACATGTCTACGACTAAATGGACTCAGAAAAACTACAGCAGCAAGACTATTGAGGATACTGCCCCACGATGAGAATAGTGAAGTCGTTTTCAGGAAGGAACTGACTAGGCAGTAATCAGCAGAGAACAAGATCACTAATGCAGAAGCCTTGTCGCATCTCTAGTCTTCTGTAAAAATAGCTATGAAGACCATAGCCGACCCTCAAAGAGTGGTTAGAAAGAGTCAGCGGATTTCCCCAGCACGCGTAGATATCTCTGCAGGCTCCATACTTAATTAGAGATGAGCAAGTAACTCAAATGTAGACTGCCGAAGAGTCTACACAATGACTGCAAACGGCGGCGAGTAGCGAAAACTAAACAGAGGTCTTATGGTAGTATATTTCACTGAAAGAGGTGCCAAGTACATTACTCTGCTGAAGACTCTTTACTCGAACACCCATGGGCATGTTGGAGCTAATGTTAAGTTGTCAGGTGAGCTGTGTACGTAGAATATTACCCACCAAGGATATCCAATCTCTTCACTCTTTTGCACCTTTATCACAGACGTATCTATGAGGGCCTCCCTCTCCTCGTTTGACTTCATAAGGATTGATTTCGCCAAGGAAGGCTACTTAATAGGTCTAGAGTATGTGGAAGACATCATCTTGTTAGATGAAAACGCCGTCGACAGGATGCAGAGACTGCTGAACTCATTGAGTGACAATTTGAGAATGTTTTGGATGTGTTTCTCATCAGCCGAATATAAATTGCTACTTAAGGACTGGTTTAACAATAGGGGTGAAATGGTTGAGCACATTGACCAATCCACTTACTTGAGAAGTTGACCGACGAAATCTCTACAAGGATGCAAAAAGCTCGGTTGACTTTTACCAGTATAGGTCACCTGTGGCACCGCAGTGATTTCCGATTTTTTATTGAAAGTCGAGAGTATTGTGCTGCAGTTTGCTCTATCCTACTACATAGTTGTGAAACATGGTCATTAAAGGAATAGAACATGAGAAAGCTTTGGATGTTCAACCACCGTTACCTTCATAGTGCAGCTTATTTGTCGTGGTGCACCAAGTCATTGACGAAGAAATCATAAGTAGAGTTTTAGGCATATTGAAAAGTCAGTTGACGAGGCTGTGAACTCTCGACTAAGATGACTGAGTGCGACATATATCGTGCATATTAACACTGAGATAGGCTTAGGATGGAAAAGCATCGGTGTCTAGACTAAAACATGGCGTCAATCCATGAAGTTTCTGACTGTTGATCTGGAACGCGTAGGAAAGTGTAAACTTCCTGGTGGGGGTAGCAGAAATCAGTGGTTGACGACCCAAGGTGATACAGCACATAATCGATCTCAATGGAGCAGAATTATCCACACATTATCCTCATCTTAACACCTGAACTAAGTTTCGGTATTCCGTCGTCATTCGATTTTCTCTTCCTCACGAAATGTGATAGCTTGTGTGGGGCTCGAAGTCATAAGACGGTCATTAGAAATCTAAATTACTGCACTACATTCCAATTAAATTTACATTCACTCACTCGAATCTTTCTTTGCAAATCACCAACATCCGGCCTTATATCAGACGAGATATTCAGGTCACTGATTTTTTTTCCAGATGAAAATGAAAGGTAATGGAAAAAGAAAAAAAACCCTAACATGAAAGAAACAGTGTACTGATGCATGTTAAAAAGGTATTCAAATCAACTCATCGATAAAATGTATGAAACCAATAAGCTATCGTTAACAGAAAACAACCTAAATCACAGATCAACATTCTTTGATGCTGCTTTTCTTGGGGTGAATTTCATCTTTTCAATAACGGATTTATACAATTAGACAAACAAATAAATAAAATAATCAAGGATACAACTACCTTAGATATTGAAAAGTAAATCTTAGTCGATTATTAGTATTATTGTTGTTATTGTTTAGAGGAAATATTTCCTGATGACTGGTTTGTCTTCGCGAAAAAACTGTGAACAAACAGCATAAAAATTCATTTGTACTTTTTTTCATTTTCAAGAGTCCTTCTAAGCAGACTTTTGGAAATGATATGAGTACAAAACAGTATGTAACTAAAGTTTTCTATAGAGATATGAATCAATAAGTTTTATTATGGATCACTGACAATCAACTATTCATAAAACGAGATTGTCAACTAGGAAATTACTAATTAAAACAATAACAGTAAAAAAAGATCTAAAGATAAAAAAGATATGGTTTTTTGTACAATTTCAAGCACCACCAAATCAAAACTAATAAATCCAATTATTTCCTCTTCTACTTAGTATGACTGTTGATAATCTGCCTCAGTAGAGAAAAACTTCCGGTATGTTAAATAACGTAAATCGATTACAACATATTCGTGTGTTTTACATAGGATAGACAAACAAATCAACGAAGAACGCTGCACAGAAGTACATCAGTTACATTTGCCGCAATTAATGCGACGCTAAATAGAGGGAGTGGACAGAAAGAGTATGATAATAAATGAACAAAAAGGACATGCGAGTATACATAGTAAGTAAATAAATGTTAGTGAAAGTGTTCCAAATGTTGAGGAACACTAAGTGTACACATTTTTGGCATTGTGACCAATCTTGACCAACGTTAACAGTAGTCCCTAAGTATTGATTTTATCATCTAGAAAATTCTAACCAGGAACTTGTATGTCTCCCTGTACAGCTCAGGTTAGTAGTTACAGATCTCATGAGCTAGTTTCACAATTTAACAACCTTTTCTTATAACTAAACTAAGAGCATTTTGTTTAACATTTCGAATCGCAACAGACGACGAGTTTAGATGCATAAAAAGTGAGCCAGCATTCTCAGTTGGTGCATGATCATCACTCAATTGACTGATTTACCTTCTCTATCTAGTCCTATAAGTCACAAGATTACGGGGGTGGGAGGGCTGCTTGAACTGTGGGCTACCGAAAACTTTCCACCGAATATATTTCATCAAATTCGTTCCTTTCAATTTGCTGTAACTTGTTAAATATCTTTTAAACGAGTCATGTACTCTTGAACATGTTTTTAATGGTTTCAAACTGCCATTTTTCCAGCTAACAACAAAACAAACTAAAAAGGATGCGCTGGTAAAAAGAGATGGGCTTATAAACGTACAGAAACATCGCATTACTACATCTCAGATAACTATGTAGAACTGTAGATTTTGACACTGACTGGGTCAACTACCACCACTAAAATTACGACCGATTTTCTACTCATTCACCAGTCCACACCACGTAGCTGTTTCACATTGTACCTCTTATTACCGTTATTAACATTATTCAAATCCAATGATATTTCCTCTCAAAGATTTTGTGCAGAGAATATGTTGAATTTGTTGCTGAGAATTTCATATTGTGTTGTTTAGAATTGAAGCAATTTGTGGTATTTTAAAAAAACACTCCTTATCATGTGACTTAGCCATATCTAGGTGATGCTTCGAGAACACCTGCGATAGACTATCTGCAACCTACGCATTTCGAAAACGATCAGCCTATTGAGGCTGATGTGACTTTCTTAATCTGTAAAATTCTCAACAAATCATATATACGGAATATGTTTAGTAAGTAATATAAATGTATACGTTCTTTCACAACCCACGTAAAAGTACATCCTGTGAAGTAGGTCGCAGTGAATAATTACTGAATATAACTCACAACCGTGCACCAACATAAGATGGCTGTTTATCAATAAAAGTGAATTGTACCATCGTTATCTGGATGACAGTTTTGCTTGAGCTATATTCACTTTTGTTTCGTTTTCAAACTCCAAAATTTTATCACATTATTAATTTATCTACTATCAATCTACCCGTGTTTCAGTTATTTAAAAAATTATTGCAAGTTGACCCAAATAACCAGATGTTACACTTATTTGCATCACATAGACTAATGAATAGATCAGTGAAACTCATTGAACAGAATTCGATTCGAGATGAGTAGCAAAAGGTAGTATAGTAATGATGGGCAGTGGCTAGCAGTGGAATCCAGGATGCGCATTTCGTCCTATTTGGGACTCACTAGCTGGATGTACCTGCCTCCCAGTGAGTGACGTCATACAAGCAATAACACTAAAAGGTAGTATGATTGTAACAGCCACCCTAGCAACCACACACCCACTGCCCCCACGTTATCTACCAACCGTACTAACAGTAGATAAATATTGATGTTTCGGAAAGAATTTTGAATGAAATGAGTAATAAAGTGTAATATCTAGATAAATAAAACAGCATTGTTATAAACAGTAAACCATATATCTGCAGCTGATCTAAACTCTTTTGGATAACTGGAAACAACAATCAGAGAAGCAGTGTGTAATATTTTCATGTCATGATTGGGTCAAATTGAGCTTTTTTTATTTCCCCTTAAGCTAACACTATTCTTCCGGTCATGCGTACGATCTTAGTTGACTCGTATTTATGATCGCATCGACTGACTTTCCTAGAACCCCATGCCCACTCACTATATTTTCCATTCCGTAGCTTTACCGTGTACAAAAGATGTTTCAGATGTAGCAGTGGTCGAATACATGTAAGTTATTCATCTTTTCTATTTTAAGCGACTGTATCTCAATATCGTTTAATTGAAGTATGGAGCTATTGTGTAATACAACCAACTTTTAATGAGTATTTATATCTCACAGGTAGTCTTCTTTGAAATGCTATCGGTAGCAAAGCCATTAAAACACAGCCACAACCACTTCTATTTGTACTATCATCATCATCATCATTATCAACTATTTGTACTATCAACTTTCAACTGACTTATTGACAGAGGTACATTTAACAGTAGAATACCTCTGAATAAGACTTACAGTAGTACCGATAAAAGGAGAACTGATGAAAATGCATTTCAAAATCTGTTTAACATTATAAAACCGAGAAACTGAAATAAACGTGCAAATTCCATGTCGTCTTAAACTACCCATTTTGTAGAACCACTACCAGTAGTTGAATAACCAATCTTTGATTAATTTCAGTTACTCAGATTGCATTTATGTAATAGACTTGTCATAATGTCTTAACTAATCGCATTTGAAAATTAAATCATCACCATCTACCTCGGCAGACCGTAGTGATTGGTGTAGATATCGTACAAATGATGTCTGAAAATGATAAGTCAATATGCACATCACAGAATACTAAACTGAATAATATGTAGAAAATTAGAAGTTTAGTAGGGTAATAAGGCAGAAATCTGAAATATTAGTCAGAAAATAGTTAGAAATCTAGCCCCAGGTGAAGTAGATGAGTTTCCAATAATTTAGTCTTAAACACTGAATAATGTGCTGTCCTTGTATCAATTATCTTCCAACTTTCCTCGGTAATGATGTTTTTTAATACATACCATTTCATTTCACGATGCTACTTAGGGTTACAGCAATAACGCATCGGAACCGCACTGTTCTCATCATCAACCAGCTGATGCTTATAGAGAAAGCAAAAAACGAAGCAAACAAATTATTCTTTAAAGGAAGAAACTAACCGATATATAGTTTCAAGATTATTATCGATTCTTTGTAACTCATGAAATAATGATTTCTTCTTCTTCCAAACGTAAATTTCATTGGCTAATTCAGGTATGATTAAATATGTTCGCCAACCAACAGTTTTTTTTGACTTTAGTATGTCTCCATAAACATGATCACCGACATACAGAACATCTTTTCCACGAGCACCAATTAAACTTGAAAACACCTCACATGAACCTAGGATGATAGTTAAAATAGTAAAAAGAGGTAATCAAAAGTGTTTGTTAAAATAACAGTATTAGAATGAGTGAGTGATATTATTCATGCAGTAAAATATAAAAATACTTACGCTGCCTAAAAATGAATCAACACACTATACTAAAAAAATAATATTTTAACTGATTCCCCCTCACAGAAACAACTTTAAGATAGTTTTTACACGAATTATAAGTAGAATAAAAAATTTACATTTTTTTAATAGGCAGTTGGCTCAGACATTTCGTTTACATTGGTATATTATTATTCAATTACAAAACAAAAAATACTTGGTATGATGGAAACAAAAAAGGAACTGGAATTATCAACTTTTTAAACCGGTCCAATGTGACTATTTCTAGCCCCCGTACTTTGAGATGTCCCTTTAATTAACCCAACTACTAATTCTCGGCAAGTGTCCTTGAAGATTGCGAGTGATAAAACATCTGATCCTGCTGGATCAAGCTACACAAACTTAAACAAAAGCAGGGAGAAGTTGTACTTTTTAAAGGTTATCTACTGTTTAATGTGACGATTGTTAGAAGACAGCTGATTTCAGATTCATAAAAATGCCAAAAAAGTTACGGTAGAAAGATTCTACAAAAGCGAACTGATATATAGCAGATTTTCGGAGTTAGGCAATCCAAACAACTTTGTAGATAGGAAGCGAAAAAGCCGATTTTAGATCAACTTGTTGCCACATTTGACCTGCACAAATATTACTGTATTAACATTATTGGGATTCTAGGTCAACCCAGTTTGAAGGATATCAGACATTTTACAGTTCTTATTTCTTCGGATGTTGCTACCCTAGTCTTCTTAGAAGCTTACTAGTTTATCAAGTATGCATTAACATCGAGCATAAGCTATCATACACAAGGTTATAAGGATTGTAATAATGATTTTTGAGCGTACTATCCTGATTTTTGTAAGATAAGTTTTACACACGATAATTAATGCTTTTTAGACATAAGTCAGTCATTTAGGCTACTCAGATGAACTACCTGGAATCACGGGAACCAATGGATGGAGACCGCTGGTGATACCGCTCGGAACTGCTTAAAATGGTGTTAATGTATTCAGTCCTCATCATTTTCGAAGTTCTGAACATTCTTCTAAGCTTTACTTGCCTATTCTATATTCTCCTATATCACTGATTATTTTGTCATCATTATAATTTTAATTATCCTATGTTACCGTGCAGCAATGAATTGTAGAAAGTTGAACCATTGAACTAACATGAGAAGTTATTAACTGATTCACGCGTCTCCTATCCTATGAACTATTAAACAATTGTGTGCCCGTGTTTTAGAAATATGGAACTAAGTTGAGATTTATTACCTTTCACTCGTTGCAAGAGGAGTGGCCTCCAAAGTACAAACAGCATTCCTTTCAGATAATAGTTCGGGTATTTAACAGTTGTTTACCACATTTTACATGAATTTCTTTTTAACTCACATAGAATATAAAACAGAAATGTTGACATAATAATTTGAGAAGCATGTTTCCCGTCCTTATGTATTGATTTTACGCAGTGATCAGCTGACTTGAAAGGCAAAACATATGTCCACGTCAAACATTTTGTAAGGTATAACCCAAGACTAGTAAAAAAAATAAGCCACCTTAAAACTTCCTACTTACAAACAAATTGGCGACAGAAAATGGAGCTACTTATCTAATATCACCCAAATAAGAATATTTCCATATGACGACAAAAAGACACGTTTATCAATAATCAGTCGAACATTAGGTCAAGTCATTATAACACAACTGTAATCTCAAAAATTAATCAAACCGTCGTCGAATAATTTATGCATATATTTCAACTGTAAAAAGATATTCTATTCACAGATGTGACCTGGCGACATTTTAAAGAATATACATATATATTCTCAAATTTTCGTCCTCGATAATAAACAATCGGTATATTCTGTTTACACAATCATGACTAGTGAATTCTGCACTACTACTACTAGGTAGTAGTAGTAGTACTAGTAGTAGTAGTAGTAGTATATGCTTAGTAGAGTTAAAAAAACATTTAGCCAGAAAGCTTGGTAACAAAAGAGAAATGAAAGAGAAAAACAGGATTGATAGAAACTATTTTCACGATTTTCTGCTTGGAATTAACGGTAGTTTGAATGACTTCTTTTGCTGTTACAATTAAACCTCGTGAGTAAACATACAGTAAATATCAGTTTGTGAAAGCAGTATCTTCCCTAAGTTGCCAGTCAAATATTTCAGTTTTAACTACATGTATTATCACTTGACAAATAGGGCACAGAGAGGAAAAATCACAGTTGCTAACCTTTGTGCCTAACCCCAATGTCAATTTGAACTTCGTATAAAGCAAAAAATTATGTTGCTTTTCTACCACGTTTTTTCTATCTAGTCACCATAGAAAGAACCAGGAATTTACATGTTATTCCTTATATACACGCCAGACGCAAAAAAATGGCGTAAACTTTCTACAACCTAAGGCCTTGACAAATATATACTTGACCGATATTCAAGGTCAAAAATACAGAAAAATAATTAAGGGTATACACATACTAGCCAGATATTTTATTCACCGTATTTATTATAAATAATCAAATTTTCACTAACCAAATTTGCAACAGTGAACTAAACGCATAGTGTAGTAAAACGATAATTCACTGAAATTCATTTATCTATATCTCTGAAACCAAAAACAATAAGTAGTTTTACTTACTGACAGCTTTTTTACCTTTTCCCTAATACAGGGTCCGACAGAAAAGAGTCACTGAAGCAAACAATATACACACAAGTATACACACGTGAAATAACACACAAGCGCGCATATGAATATTATCCATGTATAAACGGGTATTCGCATGAAATCATGATATAACATAGTGACACAACGTAGTGAAGACTTGATGCACGCAAAACAAAATGTATGACGTAAGATATTTGTCTGTTATAATTGCTCTATGTACACAAATATTGTAAGATTGATCATCAAAACAATAATAATGATAATAATAATCCAATTCACAAAGTCAAAGAAGCTAGGAATTGACTCACGGTTAATCATGGTACTAGGGGAATACACTTTACACGACATATATATATATATATATATATATATATATATATATATATATTTGACTAGCAATTTAGGAAAGACGCTGCTTTCCTATTCAGTCTTTTACATTTGCATAAACACATAATAGAATTACACGCAAACTAGTAATCGCTATTGATTACTGGGTGTTGTATCAGCCAAAAATTCGGAAACATGAAGCTCAAAAGAGTGCCACTGGTCGTATCATTTTATTCGTTTTAAAATTTATTCTACCTATGACTTAATTGGTAACATTATTATATAGCTCGGTTCGAAAGCTATTGATTGACTCCTCAACTGTTTCCGTATGACCTACATTTCGGAAATAACCGCATATTGAGTAGAACCCCCTTGTTATGCATCCTTCAATATTTTATGTTTGAAATCCGTTATTTCATTTTCATAAATTACGGTGTGTTGTGGTAAAGTAGAGCCAGTTGTGTATAAAGATGAATCAGATATCAAGATATCAAAAATCAGAATCAAATATATATGGACAATAAGCACCAGACTTTGTGTTCTGTTGTAAACGGTTGAGAGGAGAACTGCGTGAACCATCGTGTGGGTGAATTGAGTATACGAGACTGGGCAGGTGTATCCGAGATCAATCACATTCAAGGTCCGCAATAACACTGAAGAAGCCGAATCACGTGCTTAAGCCAATCGCAACCAGAGTTGCAGCAAATTGGTGAGTGGGCAACTCAAGAATGTAACACTCGGGTTTACATATACTATCTCGACTAAACTATTTCTCTCATCACTAATGTACAGAATTTCAAATGCCTGTGATAATGGTGCATATTTCCAACATTGTTGATCCATGAACATCTGAAAGGCGATTTCTTTATGGTTGTATGCAAATACAATTGTCACATATTGATATAAATGCATATATGTATTCTACTGTGCTTCACAAACTTTCATTGACGTCATTGCTGCAAGCACAATGCCTTACTCGAAATATTCTGATCCTGATATCCTGATCTGGTAACCTGGACGCCGCTGGTTAGATTTCTGTCACGATCCAAATTTTTGCTTCTAAGTCAACTATCAAATATCATACAAAGACAGGTATCTTAAAAAACGGTTATCTCTGATAGTCTCATCAACATTTTAAACGCGTAGCAGCTGAAACTTCGTCCATAAGTACTGTGACCTCCGTATATCTGAAACTTGGTGACTGGTAGACAAAACTAGTCACCTATTCAATGTGCACTATTTCCACCACATAAGAAAAAAATGATAGATGACTTTTCAACCAGAAATACTTTCAAAGGAAAGTAACAAAGAAACAGTGAATGTTCAGTAGCAATCGTTTTTATAATGTAATGTGCTACTGAGTGACATGCACATTAGTAATATTACCGAAGTGTTTACAATATTACCTCCAGAATATATTTGACCAGTTTCTAAAGGACCCATGTGGTGTCCTATACTCGGTTGGCCAGTTTCCTTGGTAAACAAAAATCAACAATAGAAATAATTGAATGTCAGTTGGTGGGAAAAAATCCAAATAGAGTGAAATAAAACAATAAATAATGACGCAGTTCACTACATGTATATAAATAATATTTACGTGGGGTGAGAGAGCTCTGTGCCTTTGGTACTGAAATGAATTTTATAAACAACATTAAATAGATAGGTACTAATTTACTTACGAAAAGAAGCATAGCTACCAAATTAAAATATGAAACACAGGGAGGATTTTATCCTCAATATATGCACTCAGTGAAACAAAACTAAAGTCAACAAATTTTCTCGTTTACACTAGGTATCCAAAATAGTTGACTACAAAATGGCTCATTATTTTAGGTAGTAAGATAGATGACTACCACTGTTGTCTTGATATTACTATTACTACGGTGTGGACATTGTACCACATCTTCCTGTGTACGCTCATCCAACAGTTTATTGAGATTAAGATTGAAAAAATTGCTAAATAATGATTGCAGATGTGGTTCATGCTCTAATCTTGACAAACTTTTCACGGAACAACTAGTAAATGAACTCGTTTCCCATGCCCTTTTTGACGATTGAAATAAGAAAAACGAATTATTTCAAAATATATTCAACTTGGATGTACTTGAGTGTTAAGTTCAACTTCAACTTAGTGAAAAAGATGCTCGATGTTTATAGAATCATATGTCTCATAGAATCACAGATTAGAGGTTAGTGAGAACAACATTCAGGAATTGAATTATGTGTGGTATGAAACATTTTTAGTCACCAAGTAATCAACTGAAAGTGAAGAATAGGTGTCGTTATTACTCGTACTAGTGTTATTTGTTCGTTTTTTGTGTGTTCGTACGAATTTCTTGATAAACTGCGGAGGACAATTATTAACTATCAGTGATTCTTTTATGTTTTTTAATTCCTTGTTTAGGTCCTTGCACTGACTAGTCAGTTTCCTAGCTCTATCGCTTAGATATTTAACTAAGCCTGCTTTAACTGACATTGGATGAGATGACTTGAAGTCTAGATACCTGTTAGAATGTGTCAGCTTTCTGTAAACAGTAGTATCCAGATCACCGTCTGTTCGTTTTATTCTGCAATCCAACATAGGTAATTCTTCATATTCATTTTCTACCTCATACGTGAATTCGATTGAGCCTACTACTGAGTTTATATGTGTGAGGAAATTGTCGATACGTTCCGATTTCAAAACAGTATATGTGTCATCCACATATAGCCACCATATTTTCGGTGGCAACACAACACAAGTGGAAAGGAGTTCACAGTCTCCATTGTGTTACCCTACAAGGAAGGCACATCAGAAACTTTACGTAGGACCATCAACAAAGCTGGCATTAGGGTGGCATTTAAACCTACAAACCCATTCAGAGATAAGCTTTATCGGCTGGCTTAAGGATCCGATGGAACCAATTAAGCAAAATAATCTAATCTATCAAATTCCATGTAATGAATGTGAGGTCAAGTATATAGGTCAAACTAGCCGGTCAAGGTCAGTTGGAATAGCTGAACATAGAAATTTAGCTAAATATAGAATGACAGACCCGACTATTCCTTTGCATGCATTAACACACAACCACACAATAAGGTGGGATAAAGCCACTGTACTTAAGACCAATATAATTAGGTGGAGAGAGAGATCGATTACTGAGTCTTTGTTCATCGAATCAACACCTAACACATGTAATAGGAATGATGCAACACCTACACTACAGATATGGAAAATTTTGCTACCAATAAAAAAAACTCACTTGAGGTGAGGGAACTATAAAAATCAAATTCCGAAAGTAGTGTGATTATATTGATATGATTATGAGCAATAATTTATGCTCGAAACGTCATCAAGTAAATAATACTATATCACTGTGTGTTATAAATCAAACAAATAAATCTAATATGGAATTAAATTCTACCACAATGCCCAAGTTTTACACCTATGTTAATGACATGGCTTAGTATTCATCCCGATAGTGGAGACGAATCCACATATTATTATCCTAATGGTCGTACCAAATTTCCTTATCGTTTCACCCTTTCTAGTTTTCTTTTAATGACTTTCCATCAGCTCGAATACTTTCTTCCTTATTTATTTATCTATTTCCTGGTGTATTTTTATTTGATGTACTGATATGAGGTGTGTCAAGTCGTCCATTAAACAGTAATTCTAGGTCCCACATTGAGGCTGATTCACTGACTGATCCTGATTGTATTCCTCTGCATGCTAAGATATTTTCATCATCCAGATGAATTTTATTTAAGATTGATCCATTACGCCAATCAATTTGCTGTATCAAAAAACACAGAGTAGTGACGATCATCTATGCCGATCGAACAAATGCAAAACCTTGAAAGAACAGCTGTGAAACTGAGCTGAGACCGTAAATTCTACTCAGTGTATTTGGTTATCAGTAGTTATAATGCATAAACACAACTAATTTCCAACTAAAAAATGATAGCCGTCTATACAATGTTACTTCCATGGTAGTGACCCTTTGCAAACAGAAAATAAAACCTAAATTCATGAATAAAATGCCTTGGACTTAGTTTAGTGTTCCCTAAATTGACCATTCTTAATGCTAATTAGAGTCATCAGTGCACCTCTAAGAAAAATTTGTACAAAGCAAGAAGGACAATTCTAGTAAGTAATATACAGATTAATTATTTTGATGTGCGATTCAAGATTATTGCTTCCTAATTTTAAATTATTCTGTGTGGCGATAATCATTGTAATTTTAGACTGCTTACAGCTGATGAGTATTCGTGAAATAAAATGATATCATTTTACTTTGCAAATCTAGTTCTTCTTGCTTCGTCTAGATTAGTCAAGCAACCAAAATGCATGGCATCTTGAGAAAAATGATTGTAAGGCGGACTGAATGCATTATATAACTGATATGTGAAAACGCTTTCTACCGGGAAAAACATTTGCGTAAAATGTAACTCAGAGACCATGTATAGGTTCATACAATAGAAAATGAGCCACATCTATTTGTACAAAGGCCAAGTACACTACGTGGCTGTTAAAAACATCAGAAGCTGGAACGCAGTACAAGCCACTGGTTAACAAATGAAATGCAGTTCCATTACCCTCTCCTGAGAGATATAGTCATCAGTTCCCAGCGTACCGTGTTCTCTTATTATACCGTATTTTTTAACCCAGTACACAATCATCTAATTAACGAAACTACGACTAACTAGTAGTTCAACAAGATAGAACTTATTTTTAAAGTTCAATAAACGCTCAAACCTGGGTTTGAGTAAATGTCCCCGTGAACTACTTCAAGCCAACAGAGTATACAATCTAAAAACTGCTGTTGAAATTATGACCAGTCTTTAATGAAAGTGGGAAGAACCTTCTGCAGGAATCCGTGTAACGACATAGTATATAACCAGTTGAAAGCAAGTTGAGTATCTGACATAAAATCACGAAGTTTATCCCACTTCAGTTACCGAAGTTCATCGACATTGATATACAAATCAAAAAGCACATTTTCATTTGATAACATTGAGAAATGTTTAACAGAGAGATTCTGATACGGAATAAAATAATTCTGGTAATAGAGTCTGTTACGATAACAGCGTAACATGTAGAATAGTATTTGACCACAGAATCAATTCAACTTACCTGGCAAACAACTCTTAAAATTGTTCCTTCTTGGAAAAATGCTGGTTTTCTTGCATCAGTCACAATGTAATCGAAATAGCTTGTCCATTTACGAATGGTGCCCTTAACATACAAAAAGTGTAAATAAACATCAAAATATCTATGAACTACGAATAGGTTACCTTAAATCATGACACTCAATCTGACTGAAGAGGTCAGTATAAGCGACGAAGTTAGTAGAAATATATAACTACTACACATTTGCACTGTTTAAAAATTCGACTTAATGTGGTTAGGTTAGATGAACTAGGATTAAATATTGGTTGAAGATCTATGGATGCAGAACCAGGTTACAATAAGTTACTTATAATACGGTATTAGTTCTGTTCAGAAATAGTCAACAGTATCATAACATCAACAAATGGAATACAATAATCAAATAATGGGAAATGGCGTATTTATACAATGTAATTACGTATATACCATGCTGTAAGTCACAGTGATTACATGCGGGTTAATCCAATTACTTGATTGTTCGAACCAACATATAAAAAGCGAAGTCCGAGCCTGTGATCCACTAGCTAAAAATCAGCTACCTTAAACAAAGATCTAATACTTGATATTCATACGCAAACAAACAGAAAAAAGGCAGTAGAAATCCACTCAGCAACCAGATGCAAGTTTTTGCAGTAGGCAATGAGCCACACCTTCTGTATGAGGGGTGACTACACTACTTGGCTGCCTAGACGTCAAGAAGTGGAACGGTGTTCAAACCCACAACCCATCGGTTAAAATGCAAGTGCCTAAACCAAGCAGCTACACACAAAAAGAGGAATGTTATTTAGTAAATGAAATCTACTATGTGAATAGATAAAAATACGAAAAGCTAGTAGATGACACACTAAGTTTCACAGTTATTTTAGGGCAGTGATCAAGGATTTTTAGTCAGGTTAACTGCAGTGGTAACTAGTGGGAGTCAGATATGATCCCCCCCCTAAGTGGTCACAATCACAGACTGTCCCGGTTTTCAAGAAAGGTGAGAAGTCCTCCTATGATAACCACAGAGAAATCGACCTGACAAATGTAGTGTCTAAGATCCTAGGCTCTGTAATCATTAGACCTCTGAGTGAAGCTCTGGGACACTAAGCCCAAGAAAGACAAGCGAGCTTCAGACTTGGCCGTGTATCTATCGACCAAATATCCACACTCTTCCAAGCTCTGAAACACTGACACACCGATGCTCAACACTAGCTGTATTTCTCAACCTGAAGGCGGCGCTCGACTCCGTAGATCGAGAAGTCGTATAGCAGTATCTCTCACTGAAATAGGTGTCAAATAAGTATACTGAAGGCTCTGTACGCGTTACAGCCTATGATGAGTTGTCAGGTGAGCTGTGTACACCGAGCGGTATTCACCGAGGATTCTCCCTCTGTCCATTCCTGTTCAATTTTGTCATCATCTGACTTCACAGGGGTTGATCTAACCAGAGGAGACTCCCTGACAGATCTAGATGACGCAAATAACACAGTTCTGCTAGGTGAAGAGGCAGACAAGATGCAGAGCCTTCTGGACAACTTAAGTAGCAATTGAAGAATGTTTGGAATGCGTTTCTTCCCACCCAAATGCAAGTTGTTGCTCCAGGACTGGTCTTCAGCGGTGTCCTGTCCAACAATAGAGAGTGAAGTGGTGGGCTGCGTTGAACACTGCCCTTACCTGGGAAGTCGGATTAGCCTTGGTACGTTGGTCAGTGGTCGACGAAACCTCCGCACCGACACAAAAGGCTCGATTGGCTTTCACCAAATTATACCCACCTGTAGCACCCCGGTGAAATCCGATTGCCTATTAAAGGCCGAGTATACTGTCCTGCAGTTTGCTCTATTTTATTGCATGGCTGTGAAGTATAGCCGTTAAAGGTAGAGGACATGAGAAGGCCTCTGGTGTGTGAAACCGTTGCCTTCGTAGCATAAGCCGTGTCGAGGTGTCACCACTTAACACAGAAGTCAGGGGTGGAGTTTTAGGGAGGAGAGGGAATTCAACCGATAAGCTTATGAAACCTCATCGAAATGTGTTATGCATGCCTAGTCACGATCTACCTGGTCGCGCAATTTCGGCTGAAGTATGTTCAGGCTTGTGAAGGGTTCGGGGTGGCCAGACTAAAATATCGCGTCAGTGAGTGAAGCCCTTGATTGCTGGTTTCAGCCATGTAGGGAGATGCAGACTAACCAGTTGGGGTCCACGTGATAACGAAAACCAGTGGTTGGAGACTACATGATATCGCTAAGAAATGATGACAATGACGTAAATGTATCCACTCTTTACCATCTTAATCGCTATGCTGAATTCAATATTTTCTCATTTCTTTTCTCTCTCTTTTACTACACTCTACTGCCTTGGACCGATTTTTGTTTCTTTCTTTATCCTTCATCTTACTATTTTGTTACTTTCTGTGATGATATAAGGCAACTTGGACCGTTATACAATAAGGTCTGGTCTTATGTTGATATTGATTGACTGATTTCACCTCTTGTGGATTAGACCGCAAGTTGAAGGCTCTTAAAATGAATCCCGTCGAAATACTTTTTCTTTTACAGAAAATGAATATTTCTTAGTGACGTAACAATCTACTTGTTGAATAACATTATAACAACCTTAGCGGTTTCAGAAAATTTGAACCTAGAACACTTAAAATTTTAGGCGTTAGCAAAAAAATGATACTATTAACTGCAGTGACACACAAAATGAATCTGAACCGGTTAACCAGAACAAAATGTTCTTATTCCTCACTACACAGTAAAATCCTTTCATGGGTGACAATTTTAACTTCATATTCATTCACATAAAAGAGCTACCAGAATACTGTACACCAAACTTCGAACGAAATTACAAAGAATTATAGAGTATTGAAGAACAAAGCAGTAATATGGACGCACTGGAAAAATTCATACAAAAACACCAATAGGAAAAAAGTAGAATTATGTGCTACAAAATACATAATACCAGCTGAAGAATGCAAGTCTTGACGATTCTACTGAAAAATCTAGCTCAACCAATAAATTCACACATACACAATATCACGATTAATAAACGAAAAGCAGAAGCTGTGTATGAATTAGTTGACATAATTTTGACTGTATTTGTTATAAAAACCACCAACAGCTATCCGCAGACTATCAGTTAAGTTGTTTGTGGCCTGTACACTATCACTTGACAAACTGATAACATCTATGTGCTTGATTTCTAACAAATTTCATTTCAGTAACAGAAAAGCAAAATCAAACCAATTCAACCACTATGGTTTCAGTACTAGAGAGTAAACTCAAGTATGTTATATGCTGCACAGCCGAAAGCATGGCAAAAGACAAACCAAAGATCCAACGACCGATCATACAGTGTGTAATGAAGGTAAACTGACCCTTTGAAACGCGATATCCATTTTTTAAAAAGAAGCCAAGTATATCCTGAATAAGCTTTTTCATAACCTGTTGCAATATAAGATTTTACTAATGTTAAGATTGTAAAAATAGCTCGCAACCTCGGTATTTTGTTTTATGTACGTCTATCTCACTACTGATTCTAAAGATCCGTGTCAAAAAAAAACAGCTACGCACTATACATATGATGACCAATAGTAAAGAGATAGAAGGTTATAACATTATGAAGTGAAACAAGAAACTATGTACAATTACTATGTGAAATTGGTGCTAGTGAAGTACCAGGTCACTCAGATTTATGAAACACAAAAAGGTACGCATATTGCGATCGTTTCTTTCTTGTCATTTAGTTTTATCTAAGAAACATTTTACTAAAAGTTTGCTAAAACTTACATCAGACCTTGGAATTTCCAAAATGAAGCTCATAATTGCCTAAAATGAAAAAATTGTATTTAACAGAAATATAGTATCAGAACTTTTCTTAACGATTAGAAAGTTGCTTTTAAAAAAGCGATTTTATTAGAAGGCCGGAGTGGAAAATAAAGCCACAAATGAAAGATTTCAGTAACAGCTTACAACAAGCTGTCATCTGAAGCTGCGAAAATCATCAATATACGCTAAATATGCTCAATATTAGCATTTCCATCTGAATTTGTTATGGATGCACTGTTGATAGTGTCGCCATTTACCTCCAACTTCTCACTGACTTAGTATTTGGTACAAGATAAAACAAAATCGCAGTATCTTCTGAATGGCTTGAGAAGAAAAATAACAGTATGTTTGGTACTTCTTTTTCATTTCCTAAAGGTAAGATGATGATGCACAACTCGAAAGTGATAGTTATACGGTCTAATGTGTTGACCGTTTGATTTATTAAAGGGATGGCGAACCCTGGTGCATCGATCGTTTTTGAAACCCCAGTAATGATATAAAACGGTCGTCTTCTAAGTCCCAACCTACAACAACAACACCTCTGGCACCAGTGAGATGTCTGTTTGTCAATACTCAGCTGTACCAGACAGCAGTACATCCATAAAGAAATTAAACCGGTACAGTGACACCGGGTATTCTTGGTGATTACCACTAGTTGTCAACTCAGTTGACAACTCTCTATAAGCCTTTACACGGCTGTGTTAGCGTAAAGAGCTTTGATTGGCGTTACACTTGCTCAGTACTACCTTCATAACACTTCACGGTCGACAGGATTGAATGCTGCCTGTCAAGAAACATGAGAAGTGCCAGCCGCTAGTATGCCTGTGTCCAGAACCTGTCGAACGGTGAAAATCTGATCAAAGCACTCTCGTTAAAGTCTGAAACCTACCTGGTTTCCTCCAGTTTGTTATTCTTGAGCCCCAGTTACGCATGGGATAACTATGGACACGACATCAGTTAAACTGATCCCCCTATGGTTATCACAAGGAAACTTCTCTCCCTTTTTTTGCGCTGGGATGATCAGTGAAGTAGACTATCCCGGAGGAGCCACCTCTGATTTTCATGCACTATTTGGCAGCTTTGTTACTCTTATTAGTAATTTACTACTGCTTTCCTTAGAAACTTCGAGCGGCAAAACCGTCAGGTCTTGCTGCATTCCGTCGTTGTAGATTATGGAACAAAGAAGGAGAATCAGTCGACAAGGCTGTGCATCTGTACTGTCTGAATTGTTCTGAATAATGAGTCATCATATATCTGAAT